GGCTCCCCGCTTATGCAAATGAAGCCCGGGAAATTCAAATCCCGGGCTTCATTTGCAAGTGCGGTATGCCTACATTACTCCGCTAGTTCGAATTAGCGGGGTAGTGTAGACATACCCACAGAGACATGCTATCAACTTGCATGTACTGTCCTGCCAACTCTGAGAGTTCAAAACTGATGAATCAGCCCCTGCACTGCACGAAAAGAGCCTGGCTTCTTGAAATCACAGATAAAAATACACTTGTGAATCTTTGTATTTGGCATTGGGTGATTGAGATCTTTGGTTGAACTCAGGGCACTTTTCTAGCTGTTCTACATAAACCATGAGACCTGAAGTCTTTGTTTAAAAAAAAAAAAAGGCTGGGGTTCTCTTCTAGCGTCAACAAACAAGCATACCTACTAAGTCAGAGCGATCACAGTTGATAGTGGTGCATGAGGCATCAGGCAGTGAAGACCCCAGATCTGGCTTAATTCTAATAATGCAGCTGGGGTTTTCCAAAGGGGAAAAAAGGAGCTCCAGTTATCAGGAGGGTTGTGATCTAATCAGGAGAGTTGGCATGAGTGATATGTATTCAGTTTCACAAACTGAGCTAATAGTTTCACAGCTTAAACTTATGGATGGGATGTCTCTGCACACACAGGAATAGACTGATAGAGGCATGGAGCTGGCAGCCAGAAGCTGCTCTATCCCTGCTGTGCTGTCGGTGGTGGTGGAGAGCTCTGGCAGGTTTTTCATTAAACCAGGGTGGCAGGCAGGCAGGGCTGGGGAACATGCAGGGGAGTACAGGCCAGCAGGCAGGGCCAGAAGACATGCAAGGAGAGTGTGGTGTCACTGTGGCAGTGTATATAAAGCACAGCCGACCCCCACCCTCTGTGTTCCTTCTGTGTTTCTTCTTACCACTCATGACGGTTGCTGGAACAGCTTTGGCCTCTGGCATTGCAAATATCTTGATTATCCTAGTGTCATAGTTCTAGTTAGTGATTAGTAGTTAGTTTGTTAGTATACGTAGTACATGTGATGGAGGTTTTCCCTTATACTGTAGCCTAGGGGCATGCCACACTCCCAAGAGTTTAAAGCCTGAGGGAGCTTATGCCAAAGTGTGACCCTCAGACTGACTGCCTCCAATGTCTGGGTGAGGGACATCACATGACAAGTGCCTGATCTGTAGGAGCCTCTTGGACCAAAAAGGAGAGGGACCGTTGAGTTAAGCTCATCTTAAAGGAGGCAGCACTGTGGCCTCTGGCACCAAAGCTGTCCCTGGCATCGGTGGTGCTTAGTCCTCTGGCACAGGTGCGTGACCCTGCGCCAAAGAAGCATTTAGGCCATAAGCACTGCTCTGTCTACTGTGCGGGATCGAGTGCCTGGCTCCTTTCCCAGGGAGAAGGTGGACAGAGGCAGGTTGCTGGCCAAGGAACTGTACAAAAGCTCTAGTAGAGCATGCCCAATGCAGGGGCACCCATGTGCACCACTGCCACCATTGACACTGTTGTCTCCAGCACCGTGGTCGAGCCCAATGGTCATGATCTCCCAGACTAGAATACTCCTGTGCCATATCACAGAGCGCAGCACCAGACATGCCTGCGTCACAAGTAGCAGCACCAAGTGTGAGCACCTCAACTTTGGTGCAGATGCCTTTGATGCCAGGACCCTGGACGATGCCCCAGGTGCCAATGACACTGTTGGTGTCAGGCCTGTTGTCCCCAGCTCTGCCAGCGCCATTTGCTAGTATGCACATGTAGGCAGCACCAATTAATAGGACACCAGCTACCAAGGTTCAATCTAAGCTGCGCAGCAGCACAGCCCCACAGCTGCTTAATGAGTCCCACCCAGGGGTTAAGGGCTGCCACGCATGGAGCTGCCTGGCTGGGGAAGAGACACTTCTCCCTCAACTACAGCAGTAGCCCCCTGCTGAGGGCAGAGCAGTGGGTCTCTTCCAGCTGGTAGGGCCACCCTTTCGCATTTGGCCAAGGGTTCCTAAGCTGTAGCTGTGCAGATCCCTATTTCTGGCCTTGACACAAAGGCTCTCTCCAGCAATCTTGGTTCAGGGGTTCAAAGGCAACCCAGTTAAATAACTTGGGGCTGATTTGTTCCCCTTTGTATATTTTTGTACAGGTTGGAGAAATTAGAGTTGAAAAAGTTATTAGGTCATTTTGTCTTTTGCCTTCTCCAAATGCATAATTGTTCCCAGTAGTATATTCCTGAGCACTTTGTCCAATCTTGTTTTAAACGACTCTATCAATGCAGCTTTCCCTATTTCTCCTGGGAGACCTGGTTAATTAGGTCCATTAGCGCTATCAAGGATTCCATACAGCACAGTTTGAAAAACATTAGTCCAAAGGGCAGTTATCCGACAGCTGATCCAGCTTATATGTTACCTACCCATTCCACCGGGAGAGATGGTTGGGTGAAAAAATGAATCATAGAAAAAGTAAATGATGCTCTCGGAAGAATTTTCATGTGCCCTTGAAAAATGTATGTACCAAAATGGCTGCATGCTTTGAAATTCACTTCCCCAAATACGTTTTCAAGTGTTTATTTTATGCAGGAAACTTTCAGCAGTCAAAGCAGAAGTCTTGTTTTGTGTAAAATCAAGTTCTCCTTTGAGTGGTGTCCCTGTGGGTGCTCCACTCAGGTCTCCGTGTGTCCTCCCTCTGGTAATCAGAGCTTTTTGCTAGCACTGCCTTCCCTCTTCGCGCATTTGCAGTCCCTGCCTCATGTTGTTTTCATCTGTTGCATGCGCGCACAGCGCGGGGCCCCCTAAATTCCTTTCTACCATCCTCAGCAGAAGATAGTCTTGCAGCAATGCTGTTTTTTCTGACTGAAAACATAAAAATAGAGTAGTTAGTTTGTAGTTCATTAGTATTTTTCATTAGTTTATAGTTACTGTTAATCAGATCTTGTTAGTTTAAAAAAAAAAAGTTTGCCCCTTTTTTTTCCTCTTTAGATTTTTTGACCACGTTCTGGACCCCTAAAGTTTTTCTTCTCAGTATGCCAAGCTCTCCTGGTTTTAACAAGTGTGACTCTTGCAAAGACTCGATGCCTGCATCTGACAGGCACACCTCCTGCATGAAGTGTCTCAGCGAAGGCCATGTGGCACAGAAATGCCCACACTGCCAGAATATGACGGCCAGTGCCAGAAAGGACGAGGAAATGAGACTAAAAAATTTCCTCTGGAAGAAATCCCTAACCACAGGAGGCTAAGTCCACTGTGCCCTTGGAGCTGCTAACTCCTCTTAAGAACAAATTCATTGCCGTCAAGGGTCTCCTGTGTGTCCCGGACTTCTCCAGCATGGTCTTTACCATCCATGTATCATGTCACCTGTTCACCAGTGCCATCTACCACCGTCACCTCAGAAAAATGGAAAATGGCACCTACAAAGAGAATGGAGTCAAAGCCAAAAAAGAAGTCGAGCTCCTCCTCACAGACCAGTGCTGCCTCTTGATTTGCACTGACGAAAGCCGACATGCCACCCTTTCCCACACTCATGGTCACCTCGGCACCAAGCCAACTTCTGGTTCCTGACTGTTAGAACCCAAGTACGCTCCAGCATCAGAGTTCAAAAAGGCTTCTCACAAGACCACAGATATGCAGCACCAAGTGCCGCATCTGCAAATACCATCTCCATCGGTGCCGAGTGCGCCTTCACCTCCACATTCTCCTAGAATCCAACAACCCAATCTGCACCAACAATCCTCTGAACATATTTCCTATTCACTTACACCATCATCACCCGGTGCCAGGCACGGCACCGGCCAGGAGAGCAGATTCTCTTCACAACATTTCTCACCAACGGGCTCAGTAACTTCATGACATTCCACTTGGCACCAATAATACACCACCCCCCATGGTATTTGTGGTTTAATAACCATTGGCGTATCCACCACAGCAGTTGCAATCCCCATGGCCTCTTTGGGAGCTCTGGAACCAATGCCACACCCACTCCTCACACCATCACTGATCACATGAGACAGCAGTATGAACACCAGTATATTTGTCAACAAGGTCTCCAGCCTCCACTATACAGTCTTCTCTGTCTTGTCCTCCGCACTTACCTTCTGTCACTACCCAAGCTGAGACAGTGAACGAAGATGATGACCTGCCTCATTCAGACTTAGATAGTTCCTCTCCAGTTTCCCAGTCCTCCTCTTCTCCAGATGAGGCCATCTTCCCCTCATCATCCTCTCCAACTGCAGATCACTTGAAGCAATTTCAGGGTCTGTTCAAATGGGTTGCTCAATCTTAGGATATTGCACTACAGGAAGTACAAGAAAAACAATACAAATTACAATTCTTCAACAAGTTACTTCCTCTAAAATAGCTCTACCGATTAATGAGGCTATTATGGATCCATTAGAGGTACTATGGCAAACTCCAGCCTCTATACCTCTCACCAATTGCAGAGCAGACAGAAAATAATTTGTCTCAGCCAAGGGCATGGATTTTCTTTTGTCTCACCCCCAGCTCATGTCACTGGACTCGGTCCACCACAAATCAAGAGAGTGACAGTATAAATTCGTGCTGTAGGATAAGGAGCATAAGTGGTTAGACATCTTTGGCAGGAAAGTCTACTCTTCTGCCACTCTCTCTCTGGTTCTGCATATTGAACTACACCGCTCTCCTGGCTAACTATCATTATGCAAATTACACCAGACTACAGGAGCTTCCTCAAGATCTTCCTGAGCAAAAGAAGCCCAAGCTTCAATCAATAATGGAGGAGGGCCAATCGATAGCATGGACCGTGCTTTAGGCATCTATGGATGTGGCCGACATGGCAGCCAGGGATATAGCAATAGTCATGTGCAGGGATTCTTGGCTGCAATCGTCTTGTGTCCTGCGGGAGTTACAGACAAAGATGGAAGACCTCCTGTTTGACAGATGAAGGCAGATGAAGTCATCTGCCAAGACAGATGAAGTCTCTCCATTCAATGAAGGACTCTTCACACTTTAGGCATGTGCACATCGCCTAACAGGAGATGCAGGTATACCCCCTACATAGTCCTGTTTTTTGTTTCCGTAAAATGGGATTGTAAGTGATACCCCTTCTGCCCCCAATCTCCCTCTCAGACCCCACAGCCCCTCCATAGAAAAGTGCAGCCCATGACCTCTTACCAAAATCTTGGCATGGCTCCCCCGCATCAAAAATTATTGCCCACCCCTTGGTTTGAAGCATATTACAAGATTCCCCCATTATCTTGCCACTACTACAGTCTGTTCTGTAGAGACAAAGAGGAATTCAGCCTTTAGTGTGGCACACTTCAGTGGCACTAAAAGAATTAAAATGTGTTGCATAAACTCCATGTTGCTTGCAAATACCCCTGAGACCCAGTAGAATATTCCCTCATTCATGTGTGCTATATATACAAATGAGTCACTTTGTGGGAAGTATCATTTTATTGGTGTGTCATTTGCTGTAGTAATCCCATGCCATAACATGTTTGGCCTTTTGTTCTGAAGTTAACATTATAATTGCTTCATTTCTTAAAATACTTTGTCTTTTAAAAGTCTGTGGGGTAGGAGTTTGTGTCTTAGGGGTTTTTTTAGGGTCTGGTTATGGTTTTGTTTTTAATGATTAAAGTCCACATTTTCAAAAGAGTTTGCTAATTGTGAGTGCCTCCATTTTTGGGTGCCCAACCTGAGATACTAGTGGCCTGATGTTTACAAGTGCTGGGTATCCATAGCTTTCAGCTGCAGCTGGCATCTTGGGAGCTCATCACCTTTGATAGTCAGGCCCCAGGGAAATGAAGGGACCCAAAGTTACAGATGACTTCAGAAAATGTGTGGTTCTTTCTTTAGCTTTGTTTCCAACTCGTAGTTGATTCTGATGCCATTTCTGGAGGCAAGCACGTTATATAACCAATCATTTATAAGCCATGAACAAATATTTAAAACTAAACTAGTGATTTTTGGGCCCCTCCATTTTTGAGTGGACAACCTGACATCTTAAAGGGGATCTAATTTTCAGAAAGTGAAGTACAGCCTCTGTAAGGGTATGTCTACATTACAATGTTAGTTCGAACTAACGGACGTTAGTTCGAACTAACATTCATAGGCGCTACACTAGCGCTCCACTAGTTCGAATTTAAATCGAACTAGCGGAGCGCTTAGTTCGAACTAGGAAAACCTCATTTTACGAGGATTAAGCCTAGTTCGAACTTACTAGTTTGAATTAAGGGGCGTGTAGCCCCTTAATTCGAACTAGTGGGAGGCTAGCCCTCCCCAGGTTTCCCTGGTGGCCACTCTGGCCAACACCAGGGAAACTCTATGCCCCCCTCCCGGCCCCGGACCCCTTAAAGGGGCACGGGCTGGCTACGGTGCCCGTGCCAGGTGCAAGCCTGCCAGCACCCAGCT